TTATGGTGGGCGGATGAATTTTGTTTTGTTTTTTGTTAGGTTAAGATCTGTAGACAACCCTAGAGAGGGGGTGAATAGTGTTTCGGCTAAATTAAGATTATTCTTGTATAAGATCAAAAACTTATCAGCAGAAGCAAATAAATGCAACAAGAAAACTGTTGGGTGTAAAAATTGGGCAATTTTCACTGCCTACAAAGACGAACCATAATAATAAAAGAATTTTGCATGGTTCGGTTCTTGCCTTCATCTACACCTTCATCTTACCCTGTGAGATGTTTCACATCTAGTACTTGTAACTCCTAAATTCGTCCAACAGAAATAGCCTATCACCCGTTCCTAACCAGATCTTGTAAATACAAACCAATACAATTTCTACGTAATCTTATCACTTAATCTACTCTTAGGACTGGAATTCCAGTACAGTCATTTCATCATGGTCAAAGGTTCACAATAAAGAAAACAGATGAAAAGCAATAAGGAAAGATTACACCCATGAAATCATAGATATCTAGACATCATTTTGACCATCAAATGCTGCAGATTTATCTTTGTTGATGAAGTTTGAGAGGGTGAAAACTTCTCAGATCTTTCTTGTACTCATGGGCCTGAAAAATGGAGTGACAGCTTCTTTTTTGTTGGAGTCATTCTGCATGTGTGTTGGTGACTGCCTCTTAGTGTTTATTGAGATCAAATATTAACCTAGAAACCATCAGATCTGGGCCAATCCATGTGATTTTGAGCACATTAAATCTGGGTCATCTATGCACATGGTTTCAGTTCGGACTCATGAAGTATAATCCAATCGAAAAAAACTCTCTACTTTTCAGAAGCTTCACCCCCAAGCACTCAGCAGGGCGTGCCATCTGCTGCGCCCCTAGCAAGCACTATTTCGTTCAGTATATTCCTGCACAGCTCAATCAAATGCTATCAAACACATATTAAGCAAATCTATTTTGTTAATTATCAAACTGAAATGACTATCAACATGAGATTCAATGCACGCGTGTTCCTTCCAGACCCAACGTAACTTTGGTTGGAGGATGCTAACAGAGTCATCTCATCCAACTAATTGTATTTGGATGTATTTATAGCAAATTAGCTGATCTGAGGGAATTTTTTGTCCTCCTTCAAATTTAACGTGATTTGAGGAACCAATATCAGAAAAACCCGAACTCTATTTATTGCTGTTGTAGACAGATTTTTAGGTGTCTAGAATGAATACATTATATTGCTATTTCTTTATAAATGTCTCTTTCCTTGAATCTTTTCTCATTTTCTTGTAGCAGTCGCATTATAAGTCCCATCTCTTAAATTTGATTAGTCATTTTGCAGGATGGTGATAAATACCTGCAAACTCGAATATGTAGCTTCAATTTCCCATACCGATATTTGCTTTTCAGATTATTTTTCCATTACTTTGCCCTCCTCACTTTTCTTGTGTGTATGTGCACTTGCTCCCATGGCTTTTATAGAAAATTTCCTATCTGACTAGCATCCTACCTATGTATTGATACAGAAACAGCAAGTCTGACTTCCCTTTTTTATTTTATTTTTGTAAGGTGAGTGGAGATAAACTCAACAGAGAACTGGTATATGCTAAAGAGAATGCTTACTATTCCATTCTATTCCATGCATCTTGGTGTCCCTTCTCGAGGAAAGTTCAACCAGTTTTTGATGCTCTCAGCTCCATGTTTCCACAAATAAATCACGTAGCTGTTGAAGAATCTGCTGCCATGCCAAGGTACAGGCAAGGATAGTTAATATCCCTTTCCATTTGTTGTCATGTGATGTGTTCTGCTTGTCCAATTTTGGGTTGACATCTACATTCAAATCTAATGTTTTGCAGTGTTTTCTCAAGGTATGGCGTCCACAGCTTTCCATCTATATTGATAGCTAACAGGACATCAAGAATTCGGTATCATGGACCAAAAGATCTGGATTCCCTTGTCAGATTCTATAAAGAAATGACAGGTGATTTTATCTATATGTTACACAAATCTTGCTTCAAATTAATTCTAGTATTTGATGGTTCTGTAACTGAAAACCACCTCTGTTCCGTTGTTCCTTGCAGTTTTATCTGCATGATAACCTATTGAAGTTATTAGCAACTTACTTGGATTGGTGCTCATACATGAAACCAATAAACCTACCTGTTTCAGTTTAATATAGGCAAGTCCAAAAGCTGCTACAAGCACATACGATATGATCTTATAAATACTTAATCATGTATTTCCATAAATTACATGAATCGCTATTTTCAGTTCATGTGTGTTTGTACACGTGTGTTGGGTTGGGGAGGTGTCCTTCATTCTCAGTGAATCTTTGTTCCCTTCCAATATGAGAGATCTATTAGTATCACGCCACCAAACAGAAATCTTCGGTATTATCATATTTGCATTCGTATTATATATCAATAGATGCATAATTAATGTAAAGTTCAGATATATGATCCATGTTATCATTAAACTGCACATAATGGAATCTCTTTCATTTCCACCTTTTGGTTCTCCGCCAGCAACAAAGTAACCTAGAAAAAAAATTTGAAGTGTAAGATTTTATTTGGAATGTCATTCTTCCAGAATCATAAGCACTTTTTGCTTACACAGATGTTACCTTATTCTAAATGCTAGTCATAATGCATTGTGAGCATAATCTCCAATAAACGAAAATGTGCTATTTCAAAAATCTTGGTGCGTAATAAATCTATGTAGGATCTCTAGTCAGATACTTCCTCTTGTGCAAGACATAGGATTCTATCTCTCTTTTTTCTATCTTTGCCTTTAATTGAATTATTTTAATGCAGGTTTTGATCCTGTTGCTTATCTTTCTATCAAGGAACCTTCAAACTCAGACATGAAGATATCTTTCAAACTACAGGATGGGTCTCTTAGGGAAATTATAAAATCAGAACCATACCTAACATTTTCAGTAGTATTTATCTGCTTGAAGGCATTCATTTGTTTCTTCCCCGCACTAATCTCCCATATCAAAGCTCTCTTGGTCGTGTACACGATTCCTCTAAACATGGGGATCTTTGGTGAGCAGAATCATTTATTAGATCGAGTTCTTCATTTAATTGATCTAAAGAAGCTCCGCAACAAGCTCAGGGTATGCAACAAAACAACGAGGAATTTTCATAAAGGTGCTGGGAATGCTCGGGTATGGGCTTCTTCGCTCGCTTCTGTCTCACTAGGAGAATCCTCTTCTTCAAGGGACTTATAGTGACTGAGCAAATTTCTGAAGAGATGAAAGAGGAGTGCTTTTGAGGTAAGGTGAAGAGGAAAAAGATATCCTATAAAAGGGCCCTCTTTAGCATATCATACATGAGTGAAGGATGATGGCTAACATATCACAAATCTTGATGCACATATTACTAATATCAGCCATTATTATCTATTAGTGCAATCACGACTACATTGATAGTGAATGCATTGATATACAGGTGACCATACATATATTGATGTTCTATGGAAGGTCATCTATAGGACCTCTTTTCCATGAAGAGAATGATATAAATGTGGTTATCTTTCATGTTTTGCGTGTATGGTCCTCTTTGAGAACATGGTTCTTCTCATTATAGTTTGGGCATATGAGATCTGCACATCGGAGTGTAATTTTTGAGCATTTAACGTCTATGTATATTAACATAATCCATTTGCACTGGAGCCTGTCTAATGTCTACCTTGAAGTTCTTAGTTTCTTGTGGTCTTCGACTTCTGGGTTACACTTCCCTTCATCTTGATGTTGTGAAAGTCCCTCGTGCGATCTAGTTCAAACGTAGCATTTCCCTTGTATTATTGTTAATATACAATGCTCAAATAGAATCGCTTTTGGTAGCGGGGGGTCTTGCGCTCAAGGGGAAGCCTGAGTTGAAAGAATTGGGATCCTCTACTAATAAGGATCCTCCTAATATCTCCTAATGAGAAGATCTTGACATTTGATTTATCAATCAAAGGTCAAGATCTAATTCTCTCTCCTCTCTCTCTCTCTCTCCTCCTTTTTCTCATGAGGAGATCTTCGTCTTTGATTGATAAATCAAAGGTCAAGATCTCATGAGGAGATGTTAGGAAGGGTCCTCATTAGTAGAGGATCCCAATCTGAGTTGAAAGCCCCTAAGCGTTAGAAACTCGACGCATTCAAGAAAACCCTCGGAAATTGGCGCCCATTTTTTAATTTTTCCTAATTTGAAGAAAGCTGGTGGCGTTTTCCAAACCTGGAACCATTAAACAGGGAATATATTCACCCAACCATTATATTGATGGGTCGTTTGGAAGAACAACGGTGCACGTTGGAAGGCATCTACATAGGATCAGCAAGTTACCCTACGTTTTGAAAGGTGCTAAATGAAAATTGTTGTTTTTGAAAATAAGATCAAGGCCTTATCATAAGGTTAGAAGGTAACATTGAATGTAATCCTTTTTATTTTTCTACGAATTATTGTGTGGTGGGGGGTGATGGGGTTTCAAGGGGAAGAAGAAGCTCATGCTTCTGCGTTTCTATTTCCATCGGGATAAGCTAGTCTCTCGCCATTTTA